AAACACATTTGGAGAACCCAGTGATTGAGTAAGTCAGTCAACATTAGTATTCTGATCAAAGTATTTCTGTACAAATGTGAAAACCATCTCGTTAGTGTATGGGACTGGTTCATTATATCAGTGGGTAAGACTAAGTTGTAATCACAGTCACGCCTGATTGATTTGTCTGACAATTGGGATGTATGACTTTTGGGAGTAAACCTTTTGATCTTATGACAATAACGACTCGCAAAAGAGGAACACCCCGTTCAGATTTGAACTCCAGATTATTTGCAGTCTACTTCAATCTGTATTCTTAATGTAACGCGGTGCGCCTAGTGGCTGCAAGAGTTGTATGATCCCCAGGGAGTTGAGATTGATAATAATATGTGCCGTTGATATTGACATCCAATGATCGAGGGACGAAATACCATCCCCTTGAGCATGTACTAGTTGCGTGGATATAATTATCTTATATTAATGCTAAATAATAATGTTCTTCTCCATTTTCCCTCTATATGGGAGCCGGTGGTGTAGCCTAGTGGTTAAAGCGTTCGCTCGTCACGTCGAAGACCCGAGTTCGATTCCCACAATGGGTACACTGTGTTCAATGTTGTTCAATCCGTGTCCCCATTTGCAAATCGTGTGATTGATATTTATTCACCCCTTCTCTTCTGCTAAAGTATTATTCGGGTATTTGTATACACGTAAGTAACTGTCACATACAATCCAGTATTTTGATGGGTATGTTCGTGTCAACGTCATATTACAACAGCACAGAAAGCGTGACAGTTCGAACGCCTAAAATAGAAAATCCTGCAAATCAGTTGAATCCATAATAGAATTATAACAAGCAAACAGTTTTCGAAACGAGATCGCGGTATTCTTTAATAATCCGTCATTGAGTAATCCGCGAGCGCCGTACGATTTGAACTGTGCTGTTTATTCTCCACTCTTTTTTGGAGTTATACCCTATTCATTTTAACATAATACCCCAGTCACGATCTGGACTAGTTCATTTGAAAGGTTTGAACAAACATTGCAGCGGGGACCATGATCATGAATAGCTCGCTACATCACGAGCGATATATCCTGTGTAGAAGTGGGTTAAAAACCGTAACACCAGGCTGAGGAATGACTATCAAATGATATGATATCCCGGTGTCAGGGGTTTTCGACGATGTAAGACAAAAACGTATTTTTTATCTGTAATACCATTAAACGTTTTTATTTTACTAACCTTGAGTGATAAAGGATATATTCATCTATTTCACACAAACATATCAAGTGTTCCCTACAAAAATAGTGTTGATGGCATCGTATCGGCGAATCTGTTGCCGCTCGTAACATGCGGGTATTTTGTATGGGTTTTCGACGATGACCCATACTGTTTGCTCCGCACTGCGAGGGAGTGTTGTGATCACGTGGCTTCCTATTTATATATTTCCTGTCACCAGCAGACGACTGATCTAACTGAATTTTCGCTTTCTATTTTTTGTTATAAAGGCAACTGATTTTGCATCTGAAGTGGTATTAACGATCTCAGGTAAATAATATTGATGTTTGTTTGCTTTTTATATAACTTTACTTCCCGATTTCCATTATAAATAAAACTTCTCACGACAGCGACTGGGCACCCGCCCTACCAGTGAAACTGTTTGTGCACTCCGATCGCACACGTACTCCCCCGATACAGCGCGTGCAATGCAATCGTCGAAATCACCAGAACTTCGAATTCAGCTCGTGTTGGGATACCTGGTCTTCGAACAATCATCATCATCATCGTCGTCGTCGTTCTCGTCGTAGTCGTTGTCATCATCATCATCATCATCATCATCATCGTTATTATCATTATCATCGTCGTCGTCAGCATCGTGGTAATCATCGTCATCATCATTTCTTTTGAAGCTGACTCATTCTAAATAAATGCTCCCGAGCTATGGGGACTGAGGAATGTGCTCATAATACTGTTGTCGGTCAGCTTCCTCTAAAGCACTATGTAGCTAACTGGCATCCCCATACATTACCGCAGTCCTAATCCCCACTGCACTGTGTAAACACTTCCTATATTTGTACATGTTTTATTGCTCATCAAAGGTAGGTAAAAGCTGGGTTTTTTTAGGACACATGAGCACACAACTTTTTTTACGCCTTTATTACACGTAGACGTGTCTGACTTATGGAGATACCCTGTAGTGTTCCCAACAATCGTAGCCATTAGGTCATTTTTGTGTGTTTTATGTTGTCGAACTCAGTAGTGTTGTCAGCAACGGCCGGTCTTAGAGATGTATTGTCACTAGATTGTAGTCTGATACTGTAATCTGTCATACAGACCCTGAAACAAACACATCCAAGAAAGCCCATGCAAGTCTAGAATATGTGGCAGTCTAGATTTGACAGGGCTCCTTTCATCATATTTTTTTATGTTTATTTTTAAACTGTTTTTTTTCTGTAAAATATGTACATGTCAGAGACTAGTTGTTAGTCGATCTGATGCGGTATAAGTACATTACAAATTCATAAGCAATTCAAAGACATAATTTTACATGATTAAATTTCATTATTGTCCTTGTAGCGCTTTATGGAGCCACACTGGTCTGGATTAAGCGCAACATGACAGACCAAGACGTAGTAGAAGAAGTAGTATTAGTAACAGTAGTCGTAGTAGTAGTAGAAAACGTAGTAGTAACAGTAGTAGTAGTAGTAGTAAAAGAAGTAGTCGGGGTAGCAGTTGTAGATGTAGTCGTAGTAGTAGTAGAAGACGTAATAGCAGTAGTAGTTGTAAGAGTAGTAGTAGTAACAGTAGTAGTAGTAGTAGAAGTAGTCGTAGTAGAAGACGTAATAGCAGTAGTAGTAGTAATAGAAGTAGTCGTAGTCGTAGTAGAAGACGTAATAGCAGTAGTAGTAGTAGTAGTAACAGCAGTAGTAGTAGTAGTAGTAGTAGTCGTAGTCGTAGTAGAAGACGTAATAGCAGTAGTAGTAGTAAGAGTAGTAGTAGTAGTAGTAGTAACAGTAGTAGTAGTAGAAGTAATCGGGGTAGCAGTTGTAGAGGTAGTCGTAGTAGTAGTAGAAGACGTAATAGCAGTAGTAGTTGTAAAAGTAGTAGTAGTAGTAGTAATAGAAGTAGTCGTAGTCGTAGTAGAAGACGTAATAGCAGCAGCAGTAGTAGTAGTAGTAGTAGTAACAGCAGTAGTAGTAGTAGTAGTCGTAGTCGTAGTCGTAGTAGAAGACGTAATAACAGTAGTAGTAGTAGTAAGAGTAGTAATAGTAGTAGTAGTAACAGTAGTAGTAATGGAAGTAGTCGGGGTAGCAGTTGTAGAGGTAGTCGTAGTAGTAGTAGAAGACGTAATAGCAGTAGTAGTTGTAAAAGTAGTAGTAGTAGTAATAGAAGTAGTCGTAGTCGTAGTAGAAGACGTAATAGCAGCAGCAGTAGTAGTAGTAGTAGTAATCGGGGTAGCAGTTGTAGAGGTAGTCGTAGTAGTAGTAGAAGACGTAATAGCAGTAGTAGTTGTAAAAGTAGTAGTAGTAGTAGTAATAGAAGTAGTCGTAGTCGTAGTAGAAGACGTAATAGCAGCAGCAGTAGTAGTAGTAGTAGTAACAGCAGTAGTAGTAGTAGTAGTCGTAGTCGTAGTAGAAGACGTAATAACAGTAGTAGTAGTAGTAAGAGTAGTAATAGTAGTAGTAGTAACAGTAGTAGTAATGGAAGTAGTCGGGGTAGCAGTTGTAGAGGTAGTCGTAGTAGTAGTAGAAGACGTAATAGCAGTAGTAGTTGTAAAAGTAGTAGTAGTAGTAATAGAAGTAGTCGTAGTCGTAGTAGAAGACGTAATAGCAGCAGCAGTAGTAGTAGTAGTAGTAACAGCAGTAGTAGTAGTAGTAGTCGTAGTCGTAGTAGAAGACGTAATAGCAGTTGTAGTTGTAAAAGTAGTATTAGTAGTAGTAGGCGTAGTCGTAGTCGTAGTCGTAGTAGAAGACGTAATAGCAGTAGTAGTTGTAAAAGTAGTAGTAGTAGTAGTAGTAGTAGTAGTAGTAATAGAAGTAGTCGTAGTCGTAGTAGAAGACGTAATAGCAGCAGTAGTAGTAGTAACAGCAGTAGTAGTAGTAGTAGTCGTAGTAGAAGACGTAATAGCAGTAGTAGTAGTAAGGGTAGTGGTAGTAGTAGTAGTAACAGTAGTAGTAGTAGAAGTAGTCGGGGTAGCAGTTGTAGAGGTAGTCGTAGTAGTAGTAGAAGACGTAATAGCAGTAGTAGTTGTAAAAGTAGTAGTAGTAATAGAAGTAGTAGTAGTAGAAGTAGTCGTAGTAGAAGACGTAATAGCAGCAGCAGTTGTAGTAGTAGTAGTAGTAACAGCAGTAGTAGTAGTAGTCGTAGTCGTAGTCGTAGTAGAAGACGTAATAGCAGTAGTAGTAGTAAGATTGGTAGAAGTAGTAGTAGTAGTAACAGTAGTAGTAGTAGAAGTAGTCAGGGTAGCAGTTGTAGGGGTAGTCGTAGTAGTAGTAGAAGACGTATGTGCAGTAGTAGTTGTTAAAAGTAGTAGTAGTAGTAGTAGTAACAGTAGTCGTAGTCAAATTCGTGCATATTCATGTTCAAGAGTCATGAAACCTGAACAAAAGGAGCGAAGGTTGAACTGGTGCTTACAGCATAGAAATTTAACAGGGACAATGTGATTTTCTCAGATGAAAGATGTAGTTCTATATGTTCTACATAGACTGTTATATGTAACTAGAAAGTATTTTTTGTTAATAACCCTGCCTCAATAAAATATATAATTTATTACTAAGTGATTGTTTGTATTCATTACTGATTAATGGATTAAACCATTACAGACTGAGGTAATCAGTATGCTAAAGTGTGCTTAGTCAACCAGAAATGTTGTTGTTATAAGCTGTGGAAGCTTTGTTATGTGGAAGTTTGGGAGGATACCGCACCAGGAGTGAGATAAGTGACCTCCACTACTAACGTGTCTATCTGATTGACTGATGGGTCACGTGATTCGCGGATGCAGTTGAGCCGCCGTTTTACGCCGAGTCATTGTGGAGAAGGCAATATAAGACGCCGTAAGCAGAGGAGCTTTAATAAACACGAAGTCCGGTTGCACTGAAAAGACAGCTACACCAGGCAAGGCTTTCAGGAATATCCGGCTTGCAACTTCGTAGAAGTGAGTCACGTGTATGGAGTGAGTTCCGTGAAGTTCGGTTGTTGTGTTTGTGGTTTCAGCTACGCAGATGAAGCTTTAATGATCTGATGTCACACACTACGTGAAGATCCCAGCGTTCACCCTCTGCGCTAACAGAGACCGTTGGATTGCTGGGCTATCAAAACATTTAGAGTTAAAGGAGACTACTTTGAAGGTAAGACTGTCTACTCGTCACTTGCTAACATTATTTTTAGCCTGGAATGTAAACATATCAATGCCATTGTAGCCAGTCAGAGGAACGGTGAGGTGAGGTGAAATTTGGTTTAACGTCGTGCTTGAGAATATTTCGCTCATATGACGACGTGCATGCGTGTGTATGTGTGTGTGCGGCTGCTGGTACTAGCCCAGACTTAAGCTGGTTTTATAGTGCTAGCTCACTGAGATACCATGCCGCAGTGAAGCATGAATACCCCACTCAGACACAGTATACTGACTCCGAGCCGACCAGTCCTTTTGTACGCATTAATGCCGAGCGCCACGCAGGGACCAATAAGTAGCATATTTTAACGTCTTTTGGTATGACGCGGCCGGGGATCGAACCCGCGACCTTCCGCTCTCCGGGCGGACGCTCTAACCACTAGAGGAACGGACCACGACGAGGCGGTCTCAGAGGAATGGATTGAACGAGAGTTGGCCCGACTCTGCTTATAGTTAGGTATATTGTACTAGCATATATATCAAGAACTTCAGCAAGACAGAAAAAATCGGACACGCTTGATATGAAGAATATTATCGTCATATAACACCTGGCTTTAGTACTAGCATAAGTAAAGTAATCTTAAATAAAGTAAAGTAAAAAAAACAAATAAAAATAAATATGAATAAACATTAAAGGAAAACAATTCTGCAGGGCCGAGAGTCAATCTAGACTCGCCAAATTATTCTTGACTGGTTTATTCTCGTGGGTCAGGGGTATATATAGCGCCACATTCAACGGCCAGTCTGAACAAGGATGATTATTCACTTCCGCGCGGGAGAAGGTCACAGGTTAACTGAGTTACCACACTTGTTCCGATGTAATAATAATAATAATAATATCACCATTTATATAGCGCCTTTCCACGTGATGTACACCGAGATTGGTAATAGTGAAATATTTGTACTCTGAGGTTGAGATTTTAGTGCATGTAAGAGATGTCAAGATGAATATGCAGAAGGTTATAATATCATTCATTGGCCAGCCCTTCCTTCAGGCGTTATGTCCAACAGTCTAGACGATGTAGCGACACGCATATTAATATCCTTGCAAATTGTCAACCCAACCGAGCTACCTCATAAAAAGAAATGATGAAGACATCCTTGAACATTTTACATGTCATCCGCGTTACACGTGGTCCACTATGTTTTCCTATCTGAACATATCTAAACAAGTGTCTCCTGTTTCACAATTGAACCAATTAATTGGCTATCCGATCACTGGCAACTTAAATTTAACCTAGAACAAGAAGAAAATTTTCCACAAAATAAATATAGAATTAAGCCTTCTCAGAAAGGAATGACTTAATGACAGGATATAATCATTACTACACAAATGTCAAAGGGGTCATGTCGTGTTTGTAATTTGTGTAGCTATTTCTAGTTTAAGTGTGCAAATGTTCCCTAGTTTGTTCTCTGTTAATTTCCCATTGTAGGCCTGTTGTTGAAACTGGTGTTCTATATGACTCTGAGATGTGGAGAATTGACAAGGCTCACTTCAGGCATATTGATACTTTACTCCTCAAGTGAGGTGAGGTGAAATTGGGTTTAACGTCGTGCTTGAGAATATTTCGCTCATATGACGACGTGCATGCGTGTGTATGTGTATGTGCGGCTGCTGGTACTAGCCCAGACTTAAGCTGATTTTATAGTGCTAGCCCAATGAGATACCATGCCGCAGTGAAGCATGAATACCCCACTCAGACACATTATACTGACTCCAAGCCGACCAGTCCTTGTTGTACCCATTAATGCCGAGCGCCAGGCAGGGACCAACAAGTACCATATTTTAACGTCTTTTGGTATGACGCGGCCGGGGATCGAACCCGCGACCTTCCGCACTCCGGGTGGACGCTCTAACCACTACACCACGGAGGCGGTCCACTCCTCAAGTTAAGTTCTGTGAGTTTCGCAACACACCATACCTGGATATACAGGACAGGACTTGGGATGTCCTTCCCCTACTATCTAGTTTCATAGTTTGTAGAATAGTGTCACAGTTTCTACATGGAATGGATAAACAAAACATTGTCTTGTATCTTGTATGTATGTTGTTACTTAGTATATAAATGTACGTTTTACACACGTAAGCCGCTATTGCGTCATTAATTATTTCATTCTAGTTAAATTACGATTACGGCCTAATCCGTCGAATTTGGAACAGTCAGCAGTGCCGATCCGTCGATTCATTCTTGAGTGGTTCTGTGCTAATCGGTCGAATTTTAGACCGAGTTAACACACTGAGAGAGTCTAAGTTCATTTATTAAGAGGTCTAGGCACACAAGTCACAGAAGACCCCATCAGGCCCCAGTAGGGTATGTGCAATAACACATCAACTACTTTATAATGGAAATTCTTTCTAAATCTTAAACCTAATTTTTAAAAAGAAAAATGGTCAATTGAAGATTACCCAACGTCCCATTAAGATAGTTTACCACTGACCGCTTCTATCACAAAATTTATAGCCTTGGGGTCCAAACGTTTGGACCCCGCACCATAAGACAAGGGTTAATGCATCAATTTCAATTTTGTACAAAAGTACAAAAATAAAGAGACTCCAAACATAAATTTAATGCATCAATTTCTCATTGTATCATATGAGTAGGCAAAGATAAGTACAAAAGTACAAACATACAGAGAGTCAAATCTTCCAACACCCCTTGCGTCTTTTTGTTGGTAGGATCCAATGTTGTAATACATATGTAACTAATTAATAGCTAAGATCACAGTGCTCATCCGTCGATTGCCACCCTTTGTCATTTGCATGATAACGACTAGAACCCTGCTGTTTCTTACAGTATCTTATGCAACTTTATTGTCACTGAAAAGTGCCTATCGCGCCTTGGGCTGTTATATTGCAACCACAGCTGGTATACATCGTGCACGTGTCAACATCCGGCTATATGTCGCACACAAAGAAAGACTTATCTAGCTCAAATTCTCAGCACATGTAATAAATTAGACCTTTACAAAGAACATGTGCAACTCGTTTTACCTGCGTGACGCGTGTCACCCAATATGGTTTAAACATATTTGTTTCATGAAAAATACACGAACTGGATTGGTCAACAAGCTCAAAAGAACTTATATGAAGACCGCTCCAGTATACATAGATATATGAAACAATATCATGACAAGGAAAAAAACAACACAAATGATATCAAATGAAAAATAGATGTTATGACATGTAGTCAAAAGACTGAGAACTTGATGGTTAGATACATTTGACATTTGCAGTGGTCATCACTAGTAGTATACTATCATCCCATATGTCTGGGGGACAGTGGGGTAGCCTAGTGGTTAAAGCGTTGGCTTGTCACACCGAAGAACCGGGTTCGCTTTCCCACATGGGTACAATGTGTGAAGTCCAGTTCTGGTGTCCCTCGCCGTGATATTGCTGGGATATTGCTAAAAGCGGCGTAAAATCAAACTCACTCCCTCACCATATGTCGGTACTTCGGGTATATTTGTATACCCTGGTGACATGTATGTGACACGTTCTTTTACAGAAGCACTGGGAAACTCCGAAAATCTCCGCTATATCACGAGCATGTGTTCATTAATCATTAACAGGAAATGATTCACCAAATGCTTTCGAAAGTTCAAGTGTATGTCCCACATGTAGTTCCTGTTACTAACACAGACAAATGCAGTTCGACTGTACACTTAAAAACAAGAAAAATATGAGGCATTGCACTGGAGATGATTTGTGTCACTGATGCTTCAATTGGTTGTGCGCAGTACAGTTGTTTGACATTCTTTGTGTACGAAGAGCATTTTGGACTGTACATCAAAGAAAGGAGACATCAAAGGCAAGAACTGCTGGAATGTGGATAGTTTATTGTCACTTTGAAGCTCTATCCAAATACATAAATATTAAACAGACGAAGCTGTCACTGTTACATTCGTTACGGATTGCAGTATGCTGAAGGCTGCTAATTTATTACAATGCAGGAGCCCCCGGCGAGAATAAGCGAGGAGGGATTTAACTGTATAGGGTGTGTAGTTTGTCTAAATGTTTCTAAATTTTTCTAACGTTAGTTGGCGCAGTGTTGATTTCTCCCCCCATCCTCTCCACCAACACGCCCCCACCCATGCCCGCTCCTACAGTTGTGATAAGTTCCCCCTCCCTGAGTCTCACGTTGTCTTAAATATGCATATAATGAACGCATATATTTATCTAATAACTGTATGATGTCAGACAGACAGACAACGTTTATTCAGTAAAAAGCCACATGCCCACCATACCGTCATTTGCACATGATATATAAAGTTTAGTGCACATGCTGTGTAAGAGGAACATTTCTAATGCGCTGAAGTACATGATACAGAAAAATACTGGCATCTTTATGATACAGTATCATTTGACTGTATGATGTGAATGCTACATGTAACATGAAAGAAGTTATCAACGTAAAGTACGTAGCGAAAGGAGTTGTCAACGTAAAGGGCATAGCGAAAGGCGTTATCGACATGACCTCAGGAGAGGCTTTAAATGACTGACATAATATGTACTCCAAATTTAATCGTATAATCCACATTCAAAAAGCTGTGAATGTACAATGTCGTTTAGAATGTGGAGAGTACTAGAACCTGTACTTTACTGAGAAAGCGTAATCCCAAGAATAACTTTCTCTCTAAATGGCATTATGTATTCAAAATTAACACTTGTGAGACGGGTACAGAAAGTATTGATATAGACTATTTGGTGTATAGGCCGATATTACGAATAAACTTCTGTCTGTCTGTCTGATATAGACTATTTGGTGTGAATGTTTTGAGTCTAGGTGACTTTGCCGTGGTGTACATTTTGGACTAATTTTGATTTTTATTGAAATCGGGAAATGGTCACTTCCCCACAGGACGTCAAATATTTGCTAAGCAGATTTACATGATATTTCAAACGCACTCGTCCATTCCAGGCTACAGGCTAAGATCCTAAGCAAAAATCTTATGGCCACTGAAATTTCATCTGTTAGATATTTTAAATTCCCCCACTACTAACGCTAAATAGCAACAGCAAACCACCACCAGGGCAGCCCATCCGATTCCATCCTTGCCACATAAAACCTTACATTGTTATTAGACGTTATCCTTAAATCTCTCCCTCATCATATTCGGTCTTATTTCAGATTCTCCTTTCTACTAAGAAATTAGCTCTGCACGTAAAGACCAATATACTGAGCGACTTGTTATGCACTAGTTGCATGGAGTTACGTTATCTCCCACATCATTGCCTTCATGAATCAGCACTTATCCTTCTTTATTTACAGGTACGAGGGCAAGGCTTCCCACTGACTACGGTCGTGTCGCTTAAAAGTAAAGATGGCAATGGCAAAGCTGCGAGACTTGTTCCAGTTTCTTTGTCTGTTGTACTGCACCGTTGCTCCAGGTATGTGTAGTTTTCTGATGTTTTTAGCTGCATTCCATTTCTTCGTTAAAAGCGATTGCCTTCTGTGTATGCCAGGTAATCGAATATCCTTCTCCCAAACCGTACCTATAAGATAAGGCAATTGATATTTCTCTGTGAACCAAATGGAAGCGACGCCACAAAGCAGCATGGTACATAGCGATAACCATAGATGTTCATGAACATGTTTTCCCAAAATGTCACATTGTTCCATTTATTATTTAAATTAAATCCACAAAACCATTATCTCTGCTGTAAGCAGAGTGTATTATAGGATTCTGTTTATATAACGAAAATGTGTTTATGGCAAGCGTAACCTGCCCTATTGTCGCACATGTTACAAACACAAATCAACATTCTGGACAAATCAAATACGGGGCTTCACTTGACACACATGTAAACTGACAATACAACCTGAATAAATTCCACAATGATAGGCCCAAGTACATGGAACTGGTTGTCATCAGTAAATTTGTCAGTCTTGCAACTTGCAAACACTTACGTCAGCTATATTTGCATCGATTGGCAAGTGCATCAGTGTGGCCGTTATGCATCTTCACATGTTTATAGGGCGTTGGACAACACCTCTTCATACACACATGCTCATGATATACTCGGAATCGGACAATCGGCATTTGTATATATTTAATAAGTGTATGGAATCTCATCAAAATCAGTTCCTGGTTCTATGATACCGCCAAACAAAGATCTTCAGAATGAAGATCGATCAGGATGATCTTCATCTGATCCGTTTCAGCGTCACTTACTAGACCACGTGACTTTCGGAATGGGTACTCTTGTCAAGTTCACCGTCGACATTTTAAAGTAAAAGATTTAATCCTTAGTCATGGACATAGCCCATACATCCGTGAAGATCCAGGTTAGAATTGGTTATCAGTAACCCATGTTTGTCGTAAGAGGCGACTATGGGGATCGGGTGGTCAGTTTTGCCATTGTCTGAGATTGTCTGGTCCAGACTCGATAATACATATAGATCGCCGTCCTAGAGCAGTGATATTGCTGTGTGCGGCATTTAACAACAGAAAAACGAAGCCAAGTCCTTGGTAAATATTTATAGATCAGTTCCAGCCAAACATTAGACATTCCATTGTGTTTTGTTAAATTTTCATATTTTGAATAGAGATCAGCCAGAATATTACAATGAAAGTACTGGGTTTGAAACTTGTGGTTCTCGCTTGACGGGATATTCCGAGATCTATTTTGTGCGGAACCAGAACAACGACCTGCTTTATGAGACTGATGGAAAGAGTTGTGACCTGTAGGTGTGCGATTCACGTTTGTTTACTTTCAACAGAAACTTTTTGTGGCTGTGTAAAATGGTTTGGTCGCGCTTATTTGCACTTGCATTCCTCGGCTTTAATTGGCATGCCTGCATTCTATTACTAGTACCCTTGTGTGAGTCCGTCTCCAGACAGAGCGAGATGTATTTGTACCGCATCAATTATTATGACATAGAAATTCTTAAACGTACCTTGTAAACATCAGTTGCAAAGAGAATATAATCAGGACATCAAATAAATCGGTCCGAAAAGTCAAATTAACCCCTTCAGATCTGGCACGTGACAAGGGTTACTTTAAGACATGTTTTTAAAATGAAAAGTTCAAGTTTGCTACGAATGTTTTATTCGTTGCTTAACACGTGTAGATGACACAGGGTCATGGACAGCTTTGGAAATCAATCCCGTCTGTATTCTAGATACATGTATATATGCCTGTGAACATGCTGTAGCGCACTATATTAATGGGTGAGTAATATCATTACGGAGGACACCAAAAATGGGCTTTACACATTGTACCCACGTGTGGAATCCAGGTTCCAACAATACCAACAATTCAAAAGGCAGGGGACACTGGGTATGGGCTCCAAACATTATATCAAAAATAAAACCGAACCTAGGTCATCGGAGTGACGAGGGAACGCTTTAGCCACTAGGCTACCTCACCACCCCTGCGCTATGTTAACATTAATAAACTGTCATCTGCGTGTCTGCGTATCTTTTGTTCGTAGCTCATACCTGCGCATGTGTGTACAGTAGAAACCGTTACATTTTGTATTATGGGAGTAATGGGAAAGCCCAGTGGTTAAAGAGTTCCCTCCTCACGCCGAAGACCCAGGTTCGGTTCTATTTCGGATATCATGTTTGGAGCCCATAGCCGGTGTCCCCTGCCTTTGAAATTGTTGGTATATTGCTATAAGGGGTTTAAAGGCACACTCACTGACTGAAGTGTGTAATGGGATGTTTTAAGATGACCTTTGTGATACTGTGTTACAATTATGGTCACTTTCAGCTGCTGGTTACTCACAAGGACCACCTGTCGGTACCTGCCTCACAGTTTTCCCAAAACATGGCCAGGATTTGACGTGGCAATCCTCTGGACCATGTCCCTTCAAGATCAGACTCTCCAGCGAGACATACAGTCCTTTACAAAACATCACGAGTAGGTGATTTCATGAGCAATTGTTTCGGCTCTAGGTTGTATTACCACTTAAGATATATCATTGCATATTGACAATTGGTAATTAAAAATTCATTTTCAAAACAAGTAGAAATTACTTGTTGAACAAAATTAACAATGTAAACGCTTCGAGTGATACAAACATGAAATAATCAATAAAGAACACAGGGACCAATTTTTACTTCTAGACAAACGTACTTTCGACACACCAGTGTTTGCCTGTAAGAAGAGTGAGTTAGTGAGTGAGTTTAGTTTTACGCCGCTTTTAGCTGTATTCCAGTAATATCACGAACCCGGGTCTTCAGCGCCTGTAAGAAGAACGTGTACTGAAGACTGAGAACGTTTTGTAAGTCTTTGCTTGTTTCCAGTTACAATTGACTCCGATGACGGTCAGGAATTTCGTGGAATCCAGATCAGTGCTCACAGAAAGTCCCTTAACAAGGAGGAATTCCAGGGAACTTTCTTGTCCTTTACACCAGAAGACAAGCTCCAGGCATACAACTGTATGGGAGGTCCCCAAGTGAGTACTCTCTTCACTGTGTACTCTGGACAAGTCTTGATACTGTAGATAGCTGAAGACGCAAATGGTGACTGGGGTTAGGAACCTCCAAATTCTGGTGAATCTGCAAAGCAAGCACATACTAGAGTGCACTTAAGCCATGCATTTCTCATTTTGGTGTCAGCTGTTGACATCAACCCGTGGAGATCCGGATTAGAATTGCTCTTCAACAAACTATTCTTATCATGGTATGGTTGGAATTGTGCAATCGGCTCTGCTTAATGCAGAGATTTTTTAGTATTTGGATATATGGCCTTAATAACCTGTATGTTAATCACCGTCTCTTATGTGTCCTACTGCGTTTCACGTTGGCTATATCTAGTTTGACACTCGCCATTACTTATATCTTGTAGAACCAGATAGCCCACAAGAACAACAACACCGTGACTCAAGTTGTGTTGGTGTGGCAGGCACCGGAAATTAACGCCGGGGATATCGTCTTCAAGTGAGTTTCATACTCTGCCACAAAGACGGAAAGTCATTGTTTTGGTTCATGTCAGGTTTTATTGTTTCCTTAACGTGATGCTGATGTATCCCTCCCGAGTCAGCTTGCCTGTTACATTAAGACAATGCATTTTGCGCATAACGTATTTTGTTTGTTTTGCAGAGCGACGTTTGTTAAAGATTTCGTCACGTTTTGGGCTTGGGAGACGAAAGACATTCGAACAGCGGACGAATCCACAGTGGTTCCACCAACAAATCCGGGACTACTACTACTACTACTACTACTACTACTACTACTACTACTACTACTACTACTATGATCTAAAGAAATTTCGAGAACTTTATCGCTCACATCGTCGAATCATCCATGTATTTCGTTCGTCTTTCAGCTGGAAGATCCAAAGCTAGAAATGGACGACATCGATTTTTCTGGATGTGGGTCAGACAGGGGATGTTTCTTGTACCCCAAAATTTGTAGCGGCGCCGACTGTACTGCCGCTATAACTTATCAAAAGAATGATGACTCTTACACGTTTGAAATGATGGCGAAAACGTCTGGTTTCGTCAGCCTCGGGTTTTCCAGTGACACCAAAATGGTACGTCTAAGACAGATAAGCCAGAGTTTACTAATCTCAGAAACGTGTGGTAAGCGTAGTAATATATACCGTTGTGCTACTGTGTGTCATTGTTCCTTACACATATTTCCATTCCAACATGTCCTTTCTGTAATGCAAACGCCAAAATGAATAATCATGACCATCTTTTTCTTGTGTTGAGGAGCGGGAGGGTAGCTTAGTGGGTAAAGTGTTCGCTCGTCACGCTGAAGGCGCGGGATCGATTCCCCACATGGGTACAATGAGTGAAGAACATTTCTGGTGTCCCCCGCCGTGATGTTGCTGGAATATTGCTAAAAGCGGCGTAAAACCATACTCCTTCTGTTTATGTTCTGAATAACCCATCTCACTGGGACTCCTTTTCAATTTAAAAGGATTTGTTAGTTTATATCCAAATTATATATATTTCCAGAGGCTAATCGTTCGCTTACTATTCAGCGTTCTATGAAGACACATGTTGAGCTGTGTTCTAAAATTCGGCTATTGGATTATAATTAATTGCATACGATGCTTTTAAACCTACGTTATGTACTTCGTATGGTTCAACAAAGATTCAGTATGTCAGTTGTCCCATATATGTAAGCTTAATGTACGACTAAAGCACAAGCTGTTTTACATCACCCGTAACGATCCGAATTGGTCCCCAGCAGCCTGTGCCAGGCTTAAGAGGCAACTAAATGGCAAGGCACTTTGGCCTGAATGAATTCTTTCCCGACGGTGTTGGACGTTGCTCTTGAACCCGTGAAGATCCGGGTAAGAATTGGTCTTCAGCAGCCCATGCTTGTCGTAAGAGGCAACTAACGACATTGGGTGGTCAGGCTTGCTGACTTGGTCAACACATGTCACTGTATCCCAGTTGAGTAGATCGATGCTAAGGAAGTTGATTACTGGATCGTCTTGTCCAGACTCGATTATTTACAGATCGCCGCAATGTAGGTGGAGTATTGCTGAGTGTGGTTTTAAACAACAAAGAAAGAAAGAAAGGTTTTATGTACCTGTGGTATTGTCTCAATCAACATCGTCATTCAACTGTGATTTTCATTTCTTTTTCTCACTGTTAGGGTCATGACGTCACTGTCACGTGCACCGCTCGAGACAATAGTGTGACAGTTCAAAATGGCTACAACCCAGAATTCTACAATGAAAGACTTTTTGCGGTAAGTTTAAGAACTGAAAATAATCCCGTCACAGTGACCAGGAGCTACTGGTGAAGACTAAACCAAAGGGCTATTTGATTCATGGCACAGGTTCTGAAACTGTGTGTATCCTGAGCAAGAACACCTGGTTATGAAATTATATCACGTCAATGAAATGGGAAATCAGTCTTGACTATTGTAAGATCAGATTGTATTAATATACAGGACGAACTAGCTTTGAAACGTACATGAGTGAGCCTCTAAAATTCATTGATGACAGATTTCAGGTACAACGGGTAAGCATGTCATGCCCAACACGTCACGTGCGTTTATCCTACCTGTCAGCCGTGAAGATCCGGGTTAGAACTGATCTTCAGTAGCCCATGCTTGTCGTAAGAGGAGACTAACGGGATTGGGTGGTCAAACTCACCGACTTGGTTGACACATGTCATCGTATCCCAATTGCGTAGATCGATGTTAATACTGCTGATCACTGGATTGTCTGGTTCAAATTCGATTATTTACAGACCGCTGCCATATAGCTGGAACTCACTCACTCATTATCTTACCTGTCACAGTTTCCTGACAGAAATACCATATGTATAATTATAATGCTGATTTACAACATAAATTCAGATAAAATAATCTATATTTCAAATTTATATTTACAAACATTACTTCACTAAACAATGTATTTGTATGTACGATTATTGCAATGCAGGGCAGCTTATTGCACATGTATGTATCAACTTGTATCTCGATCATGTTTCAGTACAACCTCACCGATCTGAGGGTTAAGAAGACCACCGATTCTGTGATGTGCCGATTCACCAGACCACGTATTCTCGGTCTACTAATGGGGAATGCACTTAATGACCCCTCTGAAGCGAACATTCACAACTTCGACATGGAGACACAATCGTATATTATGTTGGCTTGGGGGCACCTTCCTTCAGGTAAGACTCGGTTTAGTCACATACGCGATTACTTTGGGAACAGAAGTACCTGTCGTAGAAGTAGGGGTACATTTTGTAGTATACGGGGTGGTAGTAGCTGTAGTAGGAGGGGAGCATGTAGCCCAGTGGTTACAGCGTTCGCTCGTCGCGCCGAAGACACGAGTTCGATTCCGAAATTGGTAAAATGTGAAGCCCATTATATGAAAAGATCACTGAAAACCAGCTACGACACCAGGTTGGTAAGGGTGAAAAGAATAAGCATGTAACATATATATTACAGGCCAGCATCGATGTAAATGAAACAGATCTAATAGGCCACTGTAAGTTTAGCGGAACTGATGGGTCACTATAACATGTAAATGTAGCAGATCTGATAGTCGTGGATGTAAATGTAGCAGATCTAATTGGCCACTATAGCTGTAAATATAGCAGATCTAATTGGTCACAATAGATGTAAACGTAGCAGCTCTGATGGGCCACTATCGATGTAAATGTAGCAGATCTGATTGGTCACAACAGATGTAAATGTAACATATCTGGTGGGCTAGTATCGATGTAAACGTAGCAGATCTGATTGGTCACAATAGATGTAAATGTAGCATATTATATCTATCATATTTGATGGGCCACTATCGGTGTACATTTAGCAGATCTGATAGGCCAGCATCAGTGTAAATGTCACATATCTGGATATCGACCTTTCCCATTTGCAGTTGTTTTGGATGCATTCAAAGCAAGTGAATTGGCAGGTTAAACTCGTAATGGTAATGCATGGGTTTGCATACGAAAAGAATAACATTTTAGTGTTACATATAGCTACACATAGAACGACATGTATAGATGCAGCACCCCGCTTCATGACCTGTGGTATTGTAGAGTATTTAACTATTTAAACCCCAAATGTAAAAATACGACGTGTATTTACGTTTACAATGGATTGCGTGAAAACGATAACGTTTAATTTATGTTCCTGTTTTGCCTTGTGCCATATGCTCACGTGTTATGTTGGTGAAAGCTTGGCTTTCCTTAGCCTGGTCTTATGATAGGCTTCCTGGCAGGGTATCGTTTTCGGTTCCCAATTTGATTGTGATTGTTAAACACATGTTTGTGGTGCCGTTGAAATCGTACAGTTGACACTGTTTTCAACACATTTCTTATGACAATGAACCTGTTTTTATCACTTTTATTCAATGAAGAATATCTATTCCAGGTACTGACATCATGGGAAAGCACAAGGAGATCCCAGCCATGTCCGATGTAATGGTCAACTTTCAGGCTTATGCAACGTATACTGGATCTTCCATGTCTAAAGAGTACCAAGCTCATGGTAAGTTAAGATAAGTTTCACAATAAGGATGAAGGGCCTAGGACCCGACGTTGTTACATCGCCGATGATTGGACCTTCATAGTTACCTGAAACCATGTTTTGTATCAACTACTTGCCAAATACGATTACTATCAGAAACCATTTAGAACAGGATTCAGTGTTATCCTCCCAGACAGGCCTCCTTTTTTCTTTATTTGTTGTTAAACACCACACTCAACAATATTCAGCTGTATGGCGTGCCCAGTGGATGGATATGGTATCATTATGGAGAAAAATGGGATCGTGGTTTGTCGATCAGTATCGTTCCTCTCAAAACTGTTTTCCCCAATCTGGAACGGAATAGAATAAGTTGACGTCTGATTCATTTCGTCATGTTTTATGAAACATCCTATTTTTACTTACGTTACATCACAGCAATGACAGGGGTTCGAATCACTGTTTGGAAGATACTATTTAAAAATAGAAATGGACTTTTACAATCACATATTGTTTTTATGTGTTGTGTGTTACACTCATTACCTAAGATTCTATTGTAAAACAAATTCGAAACGTTGAACAGATTATTGTCATGAGTTCAATTCATGATAAAAAACAGTGAAAATTTGCAATTTCTTAACAAAACTTTACACCAAAACGCAGCTGTTCACATGCACAATATTTCCACATGCTTTTCAGCAATTTGATGCATGATCCTCCTGCTTTTCACCTGCATAAAGTTTGCAGTTGGTTCCCCCAAGTTAGTGGAGAAATCAATCTTCGATGTGATGTAACAACACACACACACACACACACACACACACACACAGACACACATACACACATATATATATATATATATGTGTGTGTGTGTGAGTGTGTGTGAATTGCAGGAGGATCATGCATCAAATTGCTGAAAAGCATGTGGAAATATTGTGCATTTGAACAGCTGCGTTTTAGTGTAAAGTTTTGTTAAGAATTCGCCAATTTTCACTGATTTTTATCATTTATTGAACTCATGACAATACTCTTTTCAACGTTACGAATGTGTTTTACAATACACCAGTTCATGTGTAAACAGTACCTTTAAACAGTATGGACTATTTTGCAAAATTTAGTTTAGAACAGTTGCCTGAAGTAAGTGGCTATATTTACACAAGTGAGTCTAAACATTTGATGGGAAGTATATATGTTAATCATAACATATAAAACCAATATATGATTGCAAAAGTCGAGATTTTTATTTTTAAAAAGTATTGTCCAAACAGTGATTCAAACCCCTATGCCAGCAGTATATAAACGAAATACCGACACAAACGTGTTCCAGGCGCTTTGATGATCGTCGCCTGGATGCTGTTTGCTGGTCTTGCTACTGTCATCGCAAGGCACTACAAGGACTTGTATGAAGACAGCATGTTTTGTGGTACCAAAATATGGTTCCAGGTAAGACAAAACACTTGAAATCCAGCTCATGACATTTAATACATTTAAACATTAGATCTGAATATGGATATGTGTAGGTTATTCCCAAGGCGTGTGGCGTGCGTTCGTGTGTGCATGTGTTCGTGTGATTTGCGATGTTTGCATATTTTCTCTGCCTTCGTTGATCCTTAACATGTACGAAAGAAATATTTGAAAATAAATTTAACATTTGTCAAGTTGTCACTGTTGACGTGTTTAAATATTCAGTTGGCTAAACATCCGTGTGAGCTGCAACATTGTGTTAATACATTCTAATGTTTACATTGATAATGTAAACATTTTACCCGAAGCCAAGTATACTCATGAAAAATGAATCTGTAGGTTTATAAGGTATGTTGAATGGGAGATATCTAATTGATATCCTTGCCTTCTTCCAGCTTCATCGAGCCATTGCTGTCAGCATCCTTGTCATGACTGTCATCAGTTTCATCATCATCTTTGTCAAAGTGGACAAACTCTCTGAGGGTGTAAGCATCAGTCTTTTAACCATTCCAGACAAATTCCAGGACAAACGGAACAGCGACTCGTGATCTCTCCAGGCCATTTCCTCGACTTAATTCGGTCTGAACACAAACGGACACAACTAAGAGAACTTGTGCTCAATTAGCACGTATATTCCCCATATACCATATACATGTATATTGCAGATTCAAATTTAAACATAATTTAAGCTGATATACAGTTTGATTGAATTTGTGTATAGTTTAGATACATGGCAAAACAACATATATATTCTTGGAGGATTCTTGATTTACATGAAGTCAAACGCACATTCTAATTGTTTTTTTAAACTTAGTGATACCTTGGAACTTTGAAAAATGATAGTCTATACAATCTTTCCTACAATTCTTGTACTGCACTGAATCAATTCAGGCGGTCGGTTCAGATGTGTCATATTCGAACTTTGTTGTTTAACACCGCAATCAGCAATATCCCAGCTATATCACGGCGGTCTGTAAATACTAGAGACTGGACCAGACAATCCAGTGATCAACAGCATGAGCACTAATCGATGCAATTGCGATACGATGACATGTGTCAATCAAGTCAGCGAGCCTGACCACCCGATCCCGTTAGTCGCCTCTTACGACAAGCATGGGCTACTTAAGACCTATTCTAACCGGATCTTGATGGGGCTCATGATTATGTATATTCTGATAATGTATATAGCGGATGCCATAATATTCCAGTGTTCCTTTCCAACAGCTATCACCTTTCATAAGTTTCCATCACATGATTTATTATTCTCCTTTGTTTGTAACTTATTTGGACTCGTGGCTTTGCCAAGTTTTTCGTGCTATAGTCTTTGGTAATAATAAAACATGCTTTTTTTCTTTTTCCCCTAGGCTGGAAGGAATCACGCTATCGTCGGGATCGCTGTGGGCGTGGCAGTCTGTTTGCAGATTCTGGGTGGTTTGGTGAGACCCGGCGGCGACTCAAGTATCCGCCCCTTCTTCAACTGGGGACATCGTCTACTGGGACAGGGAGCTCATATCTTGTCAGGTATTTCTTGTAAAAAGATTAGATTCACAATAACTTCGATATTTTAAGCTTCCTGGAAGTTTAGTATCCTTGCGTTGATATCAAATATGTAGCCAGTCTTTGAATGACATTTAGAAGTGATAAACCTAAGGAAGAGAGTTTTATGGACGTAAAATTCTTTAGTGTGAGGAACACTATATTTCGGAACATAGCCTTACTCCTTCATCAGGTGAATGATGAAGGAGTAAGGCCATGGTGAATGATGAAGGAGTAAGGCTATGCTTCGAAAAGTTGTGTCCCTTATAATAAAGAAGTTGACATCCATAGATCTCTTCCTTATGAAATCTGTATTTGAATATGACGTTGGATAATAGGAGGTACAAAAACAAACTGGCCGTAAGAAAACGTCTCCGTCATGGGGATGGGGATGGGGAGAGTGAGTGAGTTATGTTTTACGTCGCACTCAGTAATATTCCAGCTATATGGCGGTGGTCTGTAAATAATCGAGTCTGAATTAGACAATCCAGTGATCCACAGCACGAGTATCGATCTGCGTAATTGATACGATGACATGTGTCAACCAAGTCAGTGAGCCTGACCACCTGATCCCGTTAGTCGCCTCTTACGACAAGCATGGATCACTGAAGATCAATTCTAACCCGGATCTTCACGGATGAGGGGGAAGAGGTGTGTGTATGTGCGTGCGTGTGCGCGTGCGTGCGTGCGTGCGTGTGTGTATGTGTGTTGATTGGTAGTTACCACGTTGGCATTTAAACAAGTGTCGTCAGGATACAGACATGAGGCAATTGGAGTATGCGTGCCAACATTATCATCGGTTTAGTATCAATATCAAATATTGAAATAGGAATGTCTCTTTTTAACGCTGCTCTCTCTCTTCCTACAGCCGTGAATTTCATATTGGCTTTCAACATGGATTACATACCCGACACAATGAAACACTACGGCACCATCGTAGTGGCGGTATGGATCGCTGTGCAGATAGTCTGGGAGCTGGTCTTTGAGTTCTGGTCCTGCAGGAAGAACAAATCTTCCGGTAAATATGCAATAAAACATCTACAATAAGCTCGTTATGCCTTAGGAAGTGTACAACCGATGAATAACAGGTTCATCCATAAAGTTGCATATCTATTTACCCAACAGGCTTCCAATGCCAAAGAGTTATGCGGAAGCGTGTCCACTATTGAATTATACTCGATATATTCGAACGTACCATGATACCAGATTTGCTTCGATGATTTTCTTGAATAGCATGTATTCATTCAGGCCAAGGTTGAGTCACAAAGGTTCAGTGGATTTTGGACCATATTAGATCTAATCCATATGGAAACTTGCACGCTGTCTTTATACACGTTTTCATGAAACGCCTATACCTCCAGCCCATGTTGTACAAGGCGCAAAACGGGCCACAGTGTGCCTTTGTAATGGAGAGCCATAACCTAGGCTTGCCTTGACAAATCGTCTCTCTTGAACACAGATCAATGAGTCAAATGATCAGCATAACTATTGTAGACATACAATATTAGCTATTATAGGACCATCGCTAGTTGATATTTAGGATTGCCAACGAATTAGCTTTTACGTGGTGGAAGGTAATAATATCTTGCGTGTTTATTCCAGGGAGTGAAAACATTACTGACCCGAAAGGTATGAGTATTCAAGACACAAAACGCCAACCGTCGAAGGTGAACATCTTCATGCTGGCGTTGTACATCCTGACCCTTGTCGTCTTCGCTGTGGCCGCTCTCTGTGGAATATTTATTTTCTAACCTACATGTCCTATACATACCAGTTTTATACCTCAAATTCTCATACAGGATGAAGGGTAGTATAGTGGACAGTGCGATCAATGGTCATGCTGGAGATCGCCCTTTGGTATCTCCAAGTGTACGGTGAAGCAAATTCTGATGGTGAACGCCGTCCACGCTCCACCCACTCCATACTGATATCATAACAGGTAGAATTTTGAAAACATATATCTTGTGTAGATAGTAAAACTATCTACACATATGTACATGTAAACAGATAGTGTCTGTGTTCGTTCACACAGGTTTCCAAAATTGCATTGATGGACCTGTTCTTAAACTTTGGTAAATATATTTTTGGATTAAAATACAATTCACTGATATCTTCTGTGAGCATAATCACAGTCTGAATTACAAAGGCATCTATGAGACAGATTCGTATTGGTGTGGTACATGATAAAATCATTATTCCACCATACACGACTACATTATCGTGTTGTTGACTGTGCATACAGCCCAAGACATCTCATGGCCACATGAATGTATATTTCTCTTGTAAATCATTATGGTGAATTGGCAATGATAAAATAGTGAAATCATACTGCAACGTTTTAAATACTTGAAATAAAATATATCGAACGCAATGAAGGTGTCACTGTTTTAATTATTGCAATCATTCACATCGCTGTATGACTCACTCACTTTGTCCATAGCGAGGAAATACACTGTGAAAGATAATTCATTTACCTGCTATTGAGTTACTTTCCAGATACATTAGCCAACGTATAGAGTGTAGTCCCAGAGATAAAGCTATCTTTTCTTAAATAAGGTGGTACACCAACACCAGAGAGTGCTGGAAAGTATGGTGCAGTGTTAATACCAAATTGTAGCCTGGGACATAGAGCTGAGGTAATTTAGACTTTGCTCAACCATTCTATCATTTTAGTCTAGACTCCCTTGCCGTCGAGGAAAATCAAATCACAACAACTGATTAGGTTTTACACATATTTTTTACCGTATCCCACCGTAAATCTCTGGAATGTCTGGTGCAGTCTAGACTATTTACAATCCGTCGCCATAGCATGAATATAAGAGAAGAGCGTAGCTCGGTAAAGTTATTGAACTATGATGTTTCGGCCCTTACCGTTGCGTGTAACGCAAGTGAAATTAGGACATTTGTAACTAAATGAAGAATAAGAATACGTCTACCCACACCGGCAAATGTGTCATGCTATATCAGTTTGAATTTGGATAGACCATTATTTCGACGTTGCCAGATGCGACCACGCCTATCCTGGAAAGAATAGAGTCGTAGCTTATCTGAAAACATCACACGTGGCCAGTGACATATATCCAGGTTTTGTCACACGCTATATATACGCAATACGACAAATTTGGAATATAATCGACCATTTCCACGATGTAACGACGTCAATCAACATGGCTGGTTAGAGATTCCTTGTAAAGGCCAAATATGGTGAAGCATCGCGCCTGATGCTGAGAAGCAACGTGGCATATATGGTACACTCCTGTCATTTTTACCATGGGAATTCTGGAATGGCTTAACAAGGCCTTTGAGGGTGAAACCATACTTGACAATATAGTTTTTACTAAGAAAATAACCTGTCACACAATCATAGTGAACCCTAAATAACCGGGACGGAAATCCTAGAATTCGCTGTGCATTCGTCCCGATCAACAAAGTTCAGCTTTAACTTACAATGGGCTCATGGCTATGTACACATGGACACATTCATTCATTCATTCATTCATTTATATGTACCAGGTTCATCGTACATATCGAAAGTGTTTCTAGGCAATAAAGAAGCCGATATGGAAGATAGAGCTCGGTATTGTATGCCATGCATTAATTATTTATTGCACAGCGACAAAATAGAAGCAATCCGCCAGGTAGTCAAGACCATTTTCCACAAGTGTAAATATCGCGTTTAATGGCCTAGTATAATATGTCCGAGTCAGTTAACTAAAGAGAGAATCAATCGGCGAAGTCATGTCCGATGCATACACACATACATACATACATACATACATACATACATACATACATACATACATACATACATATCATACATACAATATCATGAAGATCACTGTCGATATTTGTTTTGACTCATTCAATAATAACTGCAAACAGCTGATGACGCAGAGACAGGTGATATTTAGCCTTCAACTGATGTTCATCATCTGACAACGTTATACAATATTTTCATATTTTCAATACCGTTCAAACTGAACCAGCAAATACATGGAAATAATGTAAGCGAGAAAATTCGTTTCTTCTCACTTAACTTTTGAAGTTGGTGACACCTTGCCCAGTGTATTACTATTTACAGATTACAAGTTTTGAATATATAAGAAAAGGTTGAACCTGGGCTGAGTTGTGATGCATTTTGTTCCTGACAAAATATATCTGTTTTTATTATTATAATACAGGAATAATGGAAACATAGATCTCTAAATATCCGAACGTATAATTAAATGACAAAATACACTGAACTGGGTCTAACCTCGCTGTCGTTATTTGATATACGTCCAAAGAAGAAGGCTATCCTAGCTGTCATGACAAATCCTAATGTTTGAAACTGGGATATGATCTACACAAAGATTTGCAGTTCACATCAAATGACTTCACGTTGACATACTATATATTGAGTTACGTATATGTTCCGTTTTTAGATATATCGGAGGACCTTATTATGGAAACGCTGAAAACAATGTACTATAGGTCGGTGATACCTGTAGGGTATCTGCTCTTCAGGTCACCGAGAAACCAAACATTATCTCGTCGGTGAATGGCATGTTCTGAATGCAAACCTATTTACAGAGGAACATATATCATTACATACTCTCAAACTAATTATGAGTTTACCGGACGCTTGTCGAAACCTGTATCTATACTGAACCGCAAAAGAAACGCAAGTCAAAATCCAGATTTAGAAAAACTTTACTTTTGACAGATAATGCATGAACACAGGTACATAATAACAATCAACACTTATTGCATGATGATCGGGAGATGTCAGTCAATACATGGAAACATTGTTGGTTTACTTTGCACTGAAGACAAAATCGAAATTGATCCAATAAGTCAGTAGCGCGTATGTCCACCTCGTGCATTCACTACAGCTGTGCACCGCCTGAACATGGAGTAAATCAGACGGTTGACAAAGGCCCTAGGGATTGCCGCAAATGTCCGGATGATGGCTGCCTGGAGTTCTGCTGCAGTTGTCGGACGTGGTCGGACTTCATTCAGTCGTCTCTGCAGCTCGTCCCAAAAATGTTCGATCGGGTTTAAATCGGGACTGACAGCAAGCCATGGCAGTAGTCGGATGTTATGCTGCTGGAAAAATGCCTGAGTGACTCTAACAGTGTGGGGCCTGGCATAATCTTGCTGGTAAATGTGTTGCTTGTGTCGGACGTAAAATGGCACAACCTGGGGTCGGAGGATCTGGTCGATATAACGTTGGGCAGTGACTCCATTTCCCCGACCTGGCTCAATATTCTGGAAGAATACTGGCCCTAATCTCTGATTCAGGCCAATCGCTGCCCATATCATAACGCTCGGACCTCCCCATGCATCATCTTCCATTACACATTCGACAGCAAAGCGTTCAACTCGTCTTCGCCATATTTGAACTCGGCCGTCAGCATGATAAATGCAAAACCGACTTTCATCAGAGAACAATACCAGTCTCTACTGTTGTTGACGCCAGTTTCGATGGAACGTAGCCCACTGCAGACGATTCTGACGATGTCTCGGTGTGAGGATAGGACGTCGAGCTGGACGACGACAACGGAGGTGGACTGCTCTGAGTCTGCGCCGAACTGTATCTCCGCTTATTGCTCGGTTGTGACGTGCAATAGTCTGTCAGGCAGTCTCGTTGGCAGATAAGAATCGATCCCCGATGTGCGAACGTTGAATGTGTCGATCTTGCCGTGGTGTTGTGATTCTCGGACGTCCAGGACGTTGGCGGTCAGCCGTGGTCTGTGTAGCTGCAAAACGTTCCTGAAGACGGTAAATGGTCGTTATGTGCACATGGAATGCATTGGCAACATCTGCAACACTCTGTCCAGCTTCAAGACGGCCGATGGCTTGTTCCCTCTGTTGCGTCGTTAACCATGGCATTCTTGGTGGGCGTTTTCGGGAGAGATTTCAAACTGATTTGAGGGCATTTTTATACCCCTATGTGTCCCTGACATAATGCGCATCATGATTTTCATGAAAAACTTCTGCAACCACATCCCACGGCCAATTCAATTGCTGCGTTTTGGCGATGTGCAATATCCAAGAGAAATCACAAACAGAACCTGAACACTAACAAACTGTTTTTTTCACAACAAAGGTAACCAATATGTAGTTACACTATAACATTTAACAATGTTCTGTCGAATATTTATTCATTTTGAAAAACTTGCGTTTTTTATGCGGTTCGGTATATAATAAGATAATATTTAGTTTTTTACCTTTAACAGTTCTGTTCTTGTGTTTTTCCAGTGAGGAGCAAGATACGTGAAACAAAACAATTTGGTTTTCCTTGTTCTAAATCGCTGGAAAGATTGCAAATAATAGAACATCTTTTTCAAAGGGTACTTTGACCTTGATTAATTCGTCACGAAGAGATGATTACATGTAAGAAGCGTTCTCTTTCTTTTTAAGGAAATAAGTCAGTTACGATTTTAAACTACTGCAAATGCTGTAAACATATAAGCTTGAAATATCAGTCGTTATGGGAACAGGGTATCATGACCATGGTAGTATCTGTCCATTAGACATAGGACCTACGTTTTCTATGAATAAATCATTGCTCGATAGAGACCGAATTAATATGGCTGAAGAAGTCCTTGAGCGCTTTGCATAGAACCTCGGGCATATTCTGAACAAACATGAGGGGACTGGTCAGGCAAGTTTACCTGATGTCTTTTATTGCAGTATATCTTCCTATCGGCCATTGCCACTCACGTTTTGAGGGGCATTTTACCAACCCAGGGAAACAGTATGTGCAGGTGGATGAAGAGAACCTTCTTGAAAAAACACAAGTTGGAGATTTGTTGGCGTGTGCCAAAGTGTGTGTAACGTTTCCACAGTGCAACGCGCTATTTTATAACAAAGAATCACGCCAATGTGTTCTACACAAGAATATATTTGATTCACTTAAACAAGAGGACGGAGGACAATGGAGATTCTGGCGACGTCATAATCCTTACACAGGTACTTGTCTCAAATAAAAAAATATGCTTTTACAAATAGACTGCTTTGTTACAAATGACTTGACGAATACCTGTCTTCCATGTGTTTTTAATCAATAGTTGTGTTGGCAAGTATGTTAAACTATTCAAGCAACATAAGAAACATATACTGATATTAAGTTTACCACTTTGGCAAAATGCATAGGCATGGGCACAAGGTTTTCTCAATGGATCACAATCAAATCTTCTGGATTTGCACCCGCGATCGTAGAATCTTGAGATTCACCTCAACAGTGAACTACATCGCCATGATTTTGTACTTACGAACCGAAATTATCAAACTCACTCATTTTCACGTGATTTCAATATTTCTGTTGCTGTTATGTGGAATCATGGTCCAGATTATGCATAATATGATCTCATATTTCATATCATA